TTGCCATTCAGTTCACATCTGACCAAGTCAACAGCTAGCTACTACCAATTGAGCGCACATGCACATTGGGGCCTTGCAAATTAATTTGTTCCATACAGTGATTCGTTAAAAGCTAAAATTATGTGATTGCAAAATTATAGACCGAAATTAGTTTCTACATGTCCTGGATACCTAGTTAGCTGACTGTTTTCTGTGTGCTGAAGGTGCTCAATTTGATATTTCTTTAAAGATGTTTAATATTAGAGGCAACGAAATATCTTTCATCGCACAAAATGCTGATGGTTTCGTGTACTGGTTGAAAATAAACTGAAATTAATATAGCTACTGATGGTGATATTTGCATACAGGATGAGCCCACAATTCAACTAAGTGAACAAACTACTCCTTAGATCGATGCATGCAAAGTCATATGGTTGGATTGATCCTCGTCCAGGTGACAATGGCGCTCCATTACCATAGTCATCGACTACTGGTCTGTTTGTCAGGTTAGACAAACAAATCTATGATGTTGGTAATAGTACAGTTTATACATGATGCATGACAGATAATACTATTTCTATATTTATCACGGTCACAAATTGCTTATTCAATTACTTGCTGATTGACATAGATAGTCTCCTTCAATCCATGGTCGTATACTCAAAGGTTCTAATAGAATTGCACACAAGTACATGAAACAAAAATCTATAACATTGATTAAGCTGGCTTTTGTTGTTGGGAGAATGGTAGATTTTGTCCTGGCATCATCGTCGGGGTAGAGGTACCACTGGTAGGATTTTGTTGCTGGAAAAATGATAGATTCTGTCTGGGCATCATCATAGGGGTAGAGGCACCACTGGTAGGAGTCTGTTGTTGAAAGAATGATAGATTATGTTCCGGCATCATCGTAGGGCTAGAGGTACCAATTGTAGGATTCTGTTGTTGGAAGAATGGTAGATTCTGTCCTGTCATCATCATAGGGGTACAAGTATCACTGGTAGGAGTCTGTTGTTGGAAGAGTAATAGATTTTGTCCTGGCATCATCGTAGGGGTCGACATACCAATGGATTGTTGCAGACTTGGGTTGTAATGTGCTAAATAGGGGTACACATGATTTGGCGGAGCTCCCAGATGAACCTATGCAGATAAATAGCAAAGCTTAGGTCATAAGTGATTGAAAATGAAAAATAGTTTAAAAAGTACACTTCTTATACCATTTGGGTTGGTTTGTACTGTGGTAGATACCTAGGCATTTGGTTTGTCAAAGGCATTTCAGGTCGTTGTTGTAAAGAATGGACTGCCTTCTTTTTCTTCTTTGTTTTTGCTTTCTCCGAGCCACCAACGGGTCTTCCTGATCCTGGTACAATATTTTCTCCGAATTGACACTATGAAAATTAATAGCAAAGCTTAGTGTCGCAGAAGTTTGAAAAGTAGATAAAGTCAAAAAGCTTAGACTTCTTATACCATTAAGATTGGGTTATTCGTAGGCATTTCATTTGCGAAAGGCATTTCAGGTTGTAGTTGTAAAGAATCATCTATCTTCTTTTTCTTCGTTGTTTTTGCTTTCTCCAAGCCACCAACGGGTCTCGCTGACCCTCGTACAGTCTTCTCCTTTACCTTCATACCTCTTGGCATGTGAAGCCCCTCGTTATGCTTTGAAACTCTAGTAGAGTCGATGTTCAGACCTGCAAGTGCAACCGTAAAATTAAATGCAAGTCTTAGTTTGAAAATACTCTATGGAACTACTAGTATAGTATATAAATATATACCTTGTGAAACAGAGGAGTCACCCAAATCCGGATTTGGGTCTGGATCAACTCTAACTTTCAAGCTTTGCTCCACATCTCGTGCTAGCTGCTCTGCGCATTAGCAGCCATATCATATGTTTCATCGGACTCTGCGGCGCGAGCAGCTATGTGGATAAACATTATGCACAAGTCCTTGTAAAAGTTTGACATTCTTGCTTTTAGATCCTCGTGCAAATTGCGATTGCTTGTTATCTCTAGCACTTTTGGCATCAATTGTCCATCTTTTCAATATATATTGTTCAGGGATATGCTTGATATTATTAATATCAAGTATCTTTAAGCAATGAGAGCAGAGGATTCCAGCAAATTCAAACTTCTTGCAACTGCAATTGACTTTTTCTTCGTTTGGATAAAAACTGACAACATGCTCACGTTGTGTTCCATGAAATTTTACTGTATAAACCCTCTTCTCTTTATCACTTGAATCACAAAGAAATGTGTCATAGTTCAGGGTCCGAAGCACTTGCTCCTGAAACATCTTGAATATTGCGGGAGTATATGTACTTGCGGCTTGCCTTAACACATAGCTTCCTTCTGCCTTCAGCTTGGGAGTACTTTGTGAGGCCTTGAAGTCACACTTGACCTCTACAAATCTTTTATCCGCAACTAGGCGCTCAAAATGCTCGAAAAAAGTAAGCATGTCATATTTAATACTAATGTACCGCTTTAGTTCATTATTCATGCTTTCACTTCTTTGGGTAGTGCTCATGTGGGCTGAGAATGCATTTCTGCCATACACTAGTGCCCATTGCTCCCTTTTCTCAAACAACCTTTGCAGCCACGTATTGTCACGTAGTCCATATCTGTCTAGCATTCTATTTTATTCATTTATAAAATCTTCTTCTTCCTCAATATCATAGATACAATGCTGAAAATCAGCATTGAACTTCTTATATTCTTCAACAACCCCAGCAAGGTGCTTGCAAGCATTTTGATTCATATGCCACACGCAAAGTCTATGGTGAGAGTGAGGAAGGACTTTACTAATTGCCTTGGCCATTGCTGCATCTTCATCGGTCAGAATAGTCCTTGGATGTTTCCCAGACATGGCTGTTAGAAATGTTCTAAAAAGCCAACCAAAACTTTTAGCAGTTTCATCATAGAGAAGTGTAGCACCAAAGACCATAGTTTTCTTGTGATTATTCACCCCAACAATCAAACCAAAGGGACGCCCATCATCTAGTTTCCTATATGTGGTGTCAAAGCATATAACATCACCAAACATTGCATAGTCCGATATCATTTTCGAGTCAGCCCAGAAAATATTAGTTATCAGATCATCCTCATCAACTTGAATTGAATAGAAAAAATTGGCATCTTCTTTTACCTTCTTCTCCATGTATTCTAACACTCCCCCTGTGTCTCCTTTCTTTGCTTGCAATGTTCTCTTAGAGTACAAACGATTTTTCATATCTTTAGGTGCAAACCCAAGATTTGGAAGTCCACATGCTTCTTTGGCCATAAGATCAATAGTTGCTTTATTCAAAATGCCTACAGACTTTGCGACCTCAGCGTTTGCTATTTGTGCTTACGTCACTTTTCTTTGGGATCTTAAGTATAAGGCCATGTCTCCAGTAGCAAGATTATGATTATGTGCAGCCTCAAATTCATACACATAATATAATCCGTTTTTGAGACTTATCTTCATATGGGCTTGACAGCCACATTGTGTTTCGGGCCTACTGTAACTGAAAGAATCCTCTCTCTTATCTTCTGCACGGAATCCTGTCAATTGAAATAAGTATCTTAGTGATACCAATAGTTATATAACCAAAACAAAATACAAGCAGCCCATACCTTGACGGGAGCATGTAAATGTTCTTTGTTGTATCACGGAAGAATTCTTTACTTTATGTTGACTCCCTCTTCGGATGCTAAAACCAATAGCCTTTGCATACTTGTTATAAAAGGAGTAAGCTTCCTCTTCAGATACAAATTGCATGCCAACCTTTGGTACCCTTTCATCAATGCAATCTGTTGCATTGCTAGGAGCAGTTTCATGCACATCATATATGAATCAGTATTCGCTTTAGTTAATACTCATATGTTCGGCAGTTAGATTTGTGAAACAACACACTAATTGAATACTACGTGTACACTAAATTATTTTTCAACTACCAGAATCTAAGTCAATTGCAGAAGATCATAATGTTGATTTTGTGAAACTAATATTGATTATGGCTAAAACAACAATCAGACATCTGATTTTATTACATACAGTAGGCCTCGAAAGAATAACATATTCTTGTATATATGAGTGAAATAACATGATTGACCTGACAAAGTAAGTTGTGCGGAACTGCTATTCCTTTTGTGTCAGATTTGCATAGATCTTATACAATCATCAACATTTTTGATTTGTTCTTCAGCAGAGGAAATGGTGCAACTAGTTCAACAAGAAGGACAAGAACAATGAAAAGAGGAGATAAAGAAGAATACGAGTCCGATTTCTTACTTTTGGTCCTGAAGATCCATTGCCGTGTTCATGGTTCTCATGACCACTGCTTGAAGAAGCCATAGAGGACAATGATTTCCTTACTTTAAACCTCGGATCGCTTGATATTTGCACACTTTGCTATCTGCCTGAATTTGGTTTGTGGATGCAATCAGGCTCCAGATTGAAATCTCTTCCGCCTGGTATTTAGGATCTTGTGTTTGTAAAGATTTGCCTAGTGCCTCTGTTTTCTATATTGGCGCCAATAGTTAGTTTGGCGGACATTTTCCCTCCAAAAACAGTTGTGGATATTACGTGAGGGACTGAGGGCGAGGGATATACGGGAATACGGGAGCTCGGGTATTTATTTTTTTTGGCAGAAAAGGCACGCGGGGAAGGGAATCTGGCGCTGCCGTTAGATGAAAAATTAGCAATGGGAGTACGGATGGGAGCACGGGACAGGAGCAGGCAAGCCCCGTCCCCTCTTTTCCCCTTACCTTCCTTCCTCCAATTCGTGTATCTGTGATCCTGTAATCCACCATTGTTATTTGAGTTCATCTGTGAGTGATAGATCGAGGAAGATATCGTTAGGTTGTTAACAGCTGGTATTCAGAGCCAGTAAATTTCACCACCACCTCCTCGATTTCCCAATTTCCACCGGTGACGGCACCATGTCCGATCAGGAGCAGTCTCCTTGTTCCCTGGTCTATCCACCGGAGTGGGACACCATGACCGCAGACGAGCAGATGTTGTGGTTTCTCGCGCAGCTATCGGCGTAGATGGATAGCATCAAGTCCGAGTTCGCGGCCGCGCGTGCGGGCGATCCAGTCGGGGCTACCTCGCAAGTCGATCTGCCTGCCTTCCCTCCTCCTGCTACTGCTACCTCGTCTCACGTCGACCTCGCATCCACGACTACTTCACCCACCATCGACGAGGAGGTCCACGACACATCCCCTGAGTCTTCCCTCGACAGCAACCGCCACGTCCCCGACACGGGCATGGACGAGCACACATGGGTGGAGGATATTCCAGAAGTCGTCACCGAGCTCGCCGTCCTCCCCGGCACCCCCTCCTCCACCACTGAGGCCCGGGTGGTCCCCCACGATGCGTCCGAGGACTCCATCAACGACAAGCCCGTGACCTGTTCGACAGAATGCTCGAACCAGGACAACAACACGAGGGCGTTCCCACCTTCAGTCATGACAGTGCCGCTCCTCTCAACAGCCGCACCAACGCTCGTCACGGATCTCATTCACTCGGGCACCGATGCCGTCGTGCAGCCGTTCCGGAACCACGACCTGGACGTCTCGCCGGGGCATGCAGGGCTGCTGATACGGGCGTCACCATGGCCATCGTTTCTGGTGGATCATATTGCAGAGGGAAACGAGGTCCGACCGACTCCGTGGTCATCATTTCAGATGCATTTTGCTGACGGCAATGATGTACGGCCCGTGCCGTGGCCGTCGTTTGCTGGTTCTCTTGAAGGCACGACTCTGAATTATGAAGGGCTGCTGTTGCAAGTTACTTATGTGGTGCAGCGTTTGCCGGTTGCTCTGAATTTTTTGAGAGAATACTGGAGGTATCTACCAAGTGTGCGACTGAAGTCGTTTGAAGTCAGTGTGCCATTAGAGAAGTGTGATTGTGTGCATCTTGTATCAGCAGACGGAAACGAGGTCCGACCCATTCCATGGCCATCGTTTCTAATTGGAAGGTTCATGAAGCATCTAATTATGTTAGTTCAAGTGCATGACAGTGGTTTGATTAGTAGTAGATTTCTGATGGAATTAAGCCATGTTGGAAATCTTGTGTGTGGTCTTCTTGGAAACGACATAAGGATATTCCCAGGTCAGCTCCTGTGTTTGTGGTCTTTGCAACAAGATGAAGATGATTCATGCCTCAATACACATGTGAAGCTCTTTCATTACAGTAAACAGTGGTTTTCTGAACTTTGTGCATTTGCTGAACAAGAGCAACTCACTTTCTTGGTTTCCACTAAGCACGATTGTGGTAGTGAGATGATCTGTTATTGTGCACATCCCGGAACAAATAGCAATGATTTCACCATTCAGTCTGATCTCCCTAGTTCTTTTGAACAATTACAATGTGGAGTTGCATGGACTCTCAGTTTTGTGCGGAAAACAACTGTCTGCAGGCCCTGCCTTAGGCATGATTTTCAGTTTCTGCTACCATCCAACAATCCTCGAGAAGTGCATGGTTTGTCTGAACTACAAATTGTGGAATTTATTGAGCATCAGTTTATTAATCATGTGCACATCAGTGAGTTGGCTGGCTGTTTTTGCCTTGAGAAATTATGGGGTGCTGGTGACATTGTGCATCAAAGCCAGGAGCAGTGGAACTTGTCGGAACATCACTTTCTGGAGCAAGCTGCTACATGTAATATTCCTTGGCATGAGAAGTTGCTAGGGACCATGAGGACCATGAGCATGTATTGGCTATTTTTGAGTCAAAGGGAATATAAGAGGAGTGACCATCTTGATATGAACTGCAATTCTAAACAAATGATTGGTGGTTCTGGAGCTAGAATTCCGCTTACTGTACTACTGGTCCCTTTCGAGTTTCGCTCCTCATTTGGTGAAATAATGCTGGGTGGAAATGCTTATCAACTGCTTATGGTACATATCGCCACAGCCTTCCCAAGCGATCTACCAGCGAAGTACTTGTTTGACGACACTACTGGACCTGTTCACCATTTGATACAGAAACCTATTGTAGCTAAGTTGCAGCAACATGTTACAGAGCCTGGGAATTATTTTGCATTGTTTCAGCTGGAGTCCCCAAGGCCACTTAACATCATTATTCTTGCTCAGTTGTCTTGCTTCAGTAAGAAAGCCATATGTAACGCCCTCGATGCGGCTATATCTTCCACGTGTCGAAGCACGACTTAGAGGCATAACCACATTGAAAGCAATGTCGCAAGTGAGGTAATCTTCACACAACCCATATAATACATAAGGGAAAAGAGATACATAGTTGGCTTACAATCGCCACTTCACACAAATACATGAATAAAACATTACATCATCCAGATACAATCAAGGTCCGACTACGGAACCAAAATAAAAGAAGAACCCCAAATGCGACAAGGTCCCCGATTGACCCCAACTGGGCTCCACTACTGATCAACTAGAATGAAACAAAACAAAGGACAAGATCTTCATCGAGCTCCTCCTTGAGCTTGGTTGCGTCACCTGCACGGTCTCATCGGCACCTGCGAGCTGGTTTTTGAAGTATCTGTGAGCCACGGGGACTCAGCAATCTCGCACCCTCGCGATCAAGTCTATTTAAGCTTATGGGTAAGGTAAAAGGGTGAGGTGGAGCTGCAGCAAGCGACTAGCATATATGGTGGCTAACATACGCAAGTGAGAGCGAGAAGAGAAGGCAAAGCACGGTCGATAAAAGTATGATCAAGAAGTGATCCTAAAACAACCTACATCAAGCATAACTCCAACACCGTGTTCACTTTCCGGACTCCGCCGAGAAGAGACCATCACGGTTACACACGCGGTTGATGTATTTTAATTAAGGTCAACTTCAGGTTTTCTACAACCGGACATTAACAAATTCCCATCTTTCCATAACCGCGGGCACGGCTTTCGAAAGTTCAAATCCCTGCAGGGGTGTCCCAACTTAGCCCATGACAAGCTCTCACGGTCAACGAAGGAATAGACCTCCTCCCGAGACATTCCGATCAGACTCGGAATCCCGGTTCTACAAGGCATCCTCGACAATGGTAAAACAAGTCCAGCAAGACCACCCGATGCGCCGACATCCCGATAGGAGCTGCACATATCTCGTTCTCAGGGCAACACCGGATAAGCAATCCGTACAACTAAAACCAGCCCTCGAGTTTCTCCGAGGTGGCGCTGCAAGGGGCTCTAGTTTGGACCAACGCTTAGACAAGCACTGGCCCGGGGGGGTTAAAATAAGATGACCCTCAGGATGCGCGACTCCCAAGGGAAAAAGGCTAGGTGGCAAAAGGTAAAACCAAGGTTGGGCCTTGCTGGAGGAGTTTTATTCAAGGCGAACTGTCAAGGGGTTCCCATTATAACCCAACCGCGTAAAGAACGCAAAATCCGGGAACATAACACCGATATGACGGAAACTAGGGCGGCAAGAGTGGAACAAAACACTAGGCATAAGGCCGAGCCTTCCACCCTTTACCAAGTATATAAATGCATTAATTAAATAAGAGATATTGTGATATCCCAACAAAATATCCATGTTCCAACATTAAACAAACTCCAATCTTCACCTGCAACTAACAATGCTATAAGAGGGGCTGAGCAAAGCGGTAACATAACCAATCAACGGTTTGCTAGGACAAGGTGGGTTAGAGGCTTGGTTCAACAATATAGGAGGCATGATAAGCAAGTGGTAGGTATCGCAACATAGACATAGCGAAAGAGCGAGCAACTAAGCAAGCAAAGATAGAAGTGATTTCGAGGGTATGGTCATCTTGCCTGAGATCCCGCAAGGAAGAAGAGCGAGTCCATGAAGAAGACAAACGGACATAGTCGAACGGTTCCTCACAAACGTGACGTTAACGGAACCAACCCGAAGAAGCAACACCGAAAAGAAGCACACAACATAGTAAATAAACAACACGTGGACATGGCATGATGCACAACCAAGTATGATGTATGTACGGTTTAATGATACATGGCATGGCATGGCAAAATGCATAAACAATCCTACAAATTAAGTGGAGCTCATTATGCAACGGAGTTGCATATTGAAGAAAACACCACATGACTTATTTAGTTCTCTCTCGTTTATGTACCCAACAAGATTAAATGTTTATTAACATGGCAAGAGGGTGAAGCACAATAAAACTACCTATCTAGGCAAGTTTAAATGAGGCCGGAACATCGAACAACAAATCCGGAAACTCCTCATGAGCATATTATAGATTTGGTACTGTTCTGCCCTAAACCATATTCTATAGTTGTTGAACATGCAAAGTGATGCCACCATGTTAAACTAGGCATTTTTCTACCTCATTTACATATAAAGTTTGTTTAAATCCGAGCTACGGTTATTTAGTTATGAATTAAAGCATTTTAACATGACATAGGAGCAAATTTAATCAAACAACATTTTAAACATTTCAAACATAGATGAAAGTTGGATATTATGAATCTAGACAAAGTTCTAAGCAAGTTTCATATATAACTTATTTAGATCCGATGCACGGTTCATGAGTTATTATATGCATGATCCACAAGGGTTTTCCTGCAAAAATGCTCTCCTCTGGAAAAATAGACAAATTGTAGATCTGAAAAAATAGAGGCGGGCCGAATCGGACTGGGCCAATAGTGCACAGCGGGGTTCTCACCCAGTGGGCCTTTTCCCAAGGCGGTGGAAATAGCAGGCCAGGCGACTGGGCCGGGAGCTGGGCCTTGGGGCGCATCGGCCCACGCGGGGCCCACACGAGAGGCGCTCTTCCTCCTCGTGCCCGCACGAACCGAAAGGCAGAGACGGCGGCGACGGCGCAGCAACGGCGGGGAGGTCGCGGGGACATGGAGATGACCGGATCTGGTCGCGCCGGGTCCATTCCGGCCGGATCCAACGGCGGTTCGTTGTGGGCGTCGGCGAGGGAGCCCTGGTGGTGGCGCTGACCACGTGGAAGCGCGGAGAGGTCAGGGAGAGAAATAGAGAAGAGAGAGAAAAGGGAGAGGAGAGTGACGGGGTCAACCTGGTGGAGCTCGTTGCTGCTCCGGCGAGCAGCTCCGGCAAGGACGCCGACGGGGCCTGGTGCGGGAGCTCCCTCCCCTGGAGCTCGGGGACGAGGGAGCGGGAGACGACGCGGGGGCTGTCCCGAGCCCCAGATGGGCTCAGGTGGGCCGCGGCAGGGCTCGCAGGGCCGGCGGCGGTGGGGAGCGCTGGGGTGAGGTGGCGACGCCACATGGCGGCCCAGGGGTGGCTGGAGACGGCCACGGGCGACGTGGCACGCCCGGATTGGTCCGACGCGGCGGCGCGGACATTGTCCGGCGTGGGAGGATTTGTCCGGTGGCGCGAGGGGAGGGATTTTAAGGTTTGCACCGCGAATTTCGGGAGGGGAGCACATATTTATAGGTAGAGGGAGCTAGGAGAGTCCAAATGAGGTGCGGTTTTCGGCCACGCGATCGTGATCGAACGACCGAGATGATGGAGGAGGTTTAGGTGGGTTTTGGGCCACTTTGGAAGGGTGTTGGGCTGCAACACACACGAGGCCTTCTCGGTCCCTCGGTTAACCGTTGGAGTATCAAACGAAATCCAAATGGTACGAAACTTGACAGGCGGTCTACCGGTAGTAAGCCAAGGCCGCTTGACAAGTCTCGGTCCAATCCGGAAATGTTTAACCCCCACACACGAGAAGAAGGTAGAAATGACCACCGGAGGAGATAGGAGCGCCGGAATGCAAAACAGACAACGGGGAAAATGCTTGGATGCATGAGACGAACATGTATGCAAATGCGATGCACATGATGACATGATATGAGATGCATGACATGCAAGCATGACAAGGCAACAACAGCGAATAACTGGAGAACACCTAGCACAACGGTCTCGGGGCGTTACAACACTCCACCACTACGAGAGGATCTCGTCCCAAGATCTAGAATGGCACCGGAGGGACAAACGGAAGAGAAAGAGAAGAGGTAAAACTAAATTGCTTCTTTGGCAAACGAGTGAAACCAAGGAACCTTGAAGAGGTTAATCCATATGGAGAAAAGAATACAACGGAGATGAATGAAGTTGAAAGCACTCCGGTAGGGAAGAGGAAAACAAGGAAGAGCAAATTCGGACAACACTCCAGTTGGAAAGAGATGAAAGACTTGATAAAATGAAAGAGCATGAGCAAAGGGGCACAACACTCCGGTTAAAAGGATAAGCATGACAAGGACAAGAAGAAGGTTCGAAGAGAGCAACAACACAATGCCTCCAGGAGAAAGAAATAGAAGATAGATGATTAAAATAAAAGAATGGAGAAGAAAATGCCAACTTTTGCCACAAAAGAGTTTGAGAAGGCATCCTTAGGAGAAGGTTCGAATGGAGTTGTTGGAACACCAGCAACAAAAAAGGATAAACTTGCCATGGTCTTATGGAATACATCTCAAATTATGAGGTGACAACCTGCCACTAACAAAATCAAAGATTGGGTTGATATCAACAAGGAGACGAGAAACCTATTCACCGGGAGGATAGATGAAGAACTTGGGTCATTTATAAGCACCATAAGTAGCAACAATCCTTAGGGAACGCTCTAGGTGAAATATAACCCAAGGTAATTCCAACGAATAGGTTGATGGATTTAAAATACCCCATTCTTAACAACCTGTGAATCATGAAACATGAACTCAAATTATCAAGAATGACATAATACCACCTCCGATGATATGGTAGAGGGAATTGCACTCGGATTGCAAGATGGAGAATGCTTGAGCTCCTCTGAAAAGAATCTCAATGAACACTTTGAGAAGGAATTAAATCCTTGATGAACCATCATGTAGAGCCTCCATGAAGAACTCCGGTAATAAAAGAATGATCAATCGAAAGGAAAGAGAAGTTGAAAACACAAGGTGAATCCTTGCAATGATTAGATAGATCTTTGGAATGATATAATTAAATAACTTTGAGCTCCGGAAATAAAGATTAAACAAGTGAAACCGAGAGTTTTGATGAGTCTCCAAAATAAGGAATTGAATTTACTCGATGAAACAAGAATAAGAATTACATTATGTTTATCCTTCATCAATTAAATTGATGACAATCAACGGATTTGACATACTACTTATTCTCGTAGCGAGCATTAAGACAGATATAGCGCCAACTTGAGAAGGTCTTCAACAAATCACCCGTCGGGATTGAAAGAACGAATGAATTGATACGGAAGAGAGATCTT